AAACGCTATGTTGATGACATATTAATAATTTGGAAAGATGACCAACGCATTAATGATTTCTTAACAACAATCAACAATAATGAGCACGGATTGAAGCTAAAATTAGAACAAAAAAGCCGAAGGAACATCCATTTCTTGGATATTAACATGGAATTCAAATTAGGAAACATACAAACGAACGTATATTTAAAACCAACACACGCTCCTTTATACATACCGGCATGGTCAAAAGACCCATATAAATATAAATTATCTGCGTTTAAGGCACTGATCAAAAGGGCCTTCCTGTACTGCACCAATGTACAAGACAGGGATAAAGAAATTAATAGAATTCAACAGATAGCAAGGACTTTAGGATACAGAAAGTCCACAATCATAGGCCTTGTAAAAAGCTACGGTAAACAAAAAGCTACGAATCCAAACCATAACAACAATACTACATTCAATAAGTTCACATACAATGAACAAACGAAGAAGGTGGTGAAGGAATTAGGAAAATACAAAAATGCAAGGATAATATATAAAAGAGCACCCAATATTTATAGATTATTAAGAAACGACAAGGACAAAATTAATTTAGAAGACCAACCGGGTGTATACAGTATACCCTTTGAGAACCAACAATTAGGTATTGAGAAAGAGTATATCGGAGTAACCAGAAGAAACCTGAAAGTACGACTAAAGGAGCACAAATATAGTATAAATAAAAAACTGAATAGTACGATATTAGCAAGTATGGCACAGGCAGACGGATCAGTAGTCAAATGGGATGAAGCCAAGATTGTTAGGACGGGACACTCACCTTCCATCGCAATGGAAATGGAGAAAATAGAGATTTACAGAAGTAAGATGAGGGACAGATGCCTAAATGCAAAAGATGCAAAAGCATTACCAACGGCTTGGAAATATAAAATTGAGAAAAATATGGGTTTTAATAATCCATAAACATTTTCTTTTCTGGAGTTTTTAGTATTTCAAACTCAAAGTTATAATTTTTCTTTTATTTTTATTGTTAAATTGAAACGCGATTTTTAGATTACATTTTATCATATATTTAGTTTAATTTATTTATTATACATAAAAGTTGTAATAAGTTCAAATTCAAACGAATTTCGAACGAATGATTCCATTACAACGAAAACTATTAAAACCTGAAGATGGCCTAGACGAATTGGCCGAAAACGTTTGGAATAAACAAAAATAACTCAGCAAAAAAATTCAGGTGTGTGTGATTTATTATTATAAATAGTTAATTTAATATATTGTAAATAATACAAAGTATATGATGATTGTATTCTCTAGAGAGAGTGAAATATTAATCTCTTATGGTAAGAGAATTGATATTTCAAAATTGAATAAAATATGACCACAAAAATCATAACTGCACTGTACATAGTTTCTTGAAATATTTGCTGATTATGCACTTATAACCATGAAAGTTTGTTTAAAAAAATTTTAAATATTAAAAATTAAAATATAAATGACATTACAATTGGACTGAATATATGTGATTTTTGTTTGTTTCATTTCCTATGCTGTTTTAAGAGAAAAACACCACAATCATATTTGGCTACATATTCATATAGACTAGTGTTTCTCCAATATGAGATACTTGAAACACTTCCGGAGGTATGAGAAAAAATTTATGTAATGGCTGCTAAGTGTAGTTTTAAGTCAGCAATTTTATCAGTTTAAAAGTTTATATCTATGATTCAAAGTTTTCTAAACATAACTCCATAACTTTACAATATTGTTTTATAGTTCTGAAGCTACATCATAACTGTAAAATAATAAATTAAACCAACTGAACTCATTTTCTTTCCACTCGACTACTTTGTTATTATTTTGTCTATATTACTTTAAATTACAAATCAATGATTAAAAAACAGTCATTTAAAAGTGATGATATTTTTTAACTATTTTTAATTTATGGACATTTAGGAAAACATGAAATTTTTCATTTTCATGAAATTTAATTCATGGAAAGAGTATATAAAGTAGAAAAGATTGGTAACTTCTGATATACACCAACAAAGTCTGTGATTAAGAAAAGATTGAAGTAATTACATATTTCTTGTTTCAATAACTGAAGAACATATGATAATCTACATTCCAATGTTATTTTCATTCTATTTATTGGCAATATAATTTGTGTGAGAATATTTAATATTCTTAATAAATATTGGATAAAAATGAACATGATATAGTATGATAATAAAATTGTTATTTTTTAATAAAATAATAAAAGTAATGAGACATATTTCCATAAATAGAATTAATATAATTTTTTATTTAATGTTTTTCCATAAATTTTAGGTTTTAATAATAATTATTATTATTAAAAATGTAATTTATTTTTATGTTGACAGCTGCAACATATTGTCAGTGATGAAAATTGCATTAGATGCACAGAACTTTATTTGGAACAACAAAAATCTGGAACTACAGGAGGACCTTGCAGCACAGCTATTCAACGTATATCTGCTGAAAATAATTACCAAAAAAAAGCAGAACAAATACTGAGTGAAGAAAATTGTTTTAAAGTTATTCTGGTAAATTTTAATATTGATTATGTAAATAAAAAAATAACTTCTGAAATTTGATAGTTATATATATATATATCATTTGGCATTGATCATGTAAATGCTTTGTTCAATTCATACTGGAGCAAAATCAAAACATAATAATAATAATAATAATTTAGTAACTATTTATAAAATGATAATCTTCTCTTGACTATTAATGTATCTTGATCAACTATTGCAGATAAATCTTAAAATATCAAATAATTTTGCAGAGATAGACTTTTTCATAAATTAGCACAAAAAATTACTCTTGTGAAATCCGAATTTCAGAATTTTTATTAAATTGCAAATGTTTAAAATTGCTATTTGTAGTTAAAGTATTTTTGAGGAAAGTTAGAGTTTATTATTCTGTATAGATCAGGGATGTAATCAGAAATTTCTGACTTTGGTTATCTGTATTGCTAATGGTTTGCATATACTTATCATAAGTAGATAAGCTACTATAAAACCATAATAGTGCAAGATCACTAGCAACACATCATTGTGCAAGGAGCTGCCATATCTGTAGCTGGGAAGCTCTTTGCATGTAACATGCAAATTAATGATACACATGACAACATTCAATAAATAAAGAAACAAGAACAAGTATTAAACTTTATTATTCTCTACCTTGTGACTGTTCATGTAGCCTAGTATTTTAGTCCAATGTGCCTTTTTTTTTCTGTTTCATCCAGTGGTCAACTGTTTGTGACTTTTTTTTAATGCTGGTAACTTTTAAATTTATGTTGGGTAGCAGTAAAGACTAGCAAGAGTGTGGGAAGTGGCACCCCTTTCTGTCCTGAGTGGCTACATCCCTGATAGACTTATAGAAAAGTTTTCAATAGCAGAGATTATAATAGGAACTATGGACTCCTAGCCTTTGGTCATTGGTCTCATTAATACAGATAACTCACAGAATATATATTCTGTGATTTATCTGTATTGGGGACAGTTATGACAATAATGTTATTTCAGATTCTTTATTAAGCAATATAATGTTTGACTTGTTAGGTAATATTAGGTAATCTTAATGAGATTTACTCTACTAACACAAATGACTCTAAAAATTGTATTTGTCTATTCTTTTACTGTACACACACAAAATACATTGAGTTTATGGGAGTTAACAAAAATCAAATTTAACTTATTGAGAGTCATCTGTAAAAAAAAATTGGTTGTTGAATAAAGTAAACTGAACAGAAGTTTTAATATTAAAAGATATTGAAATTTATTTTATAATTTGTTTTCACTATAATAAAAAATTAATAGTTTTAATACAAACATTTTCTTTAACTATTGTTTAGTACAAGACTGAAGGAAAACTCACAATTGAGTTACTGGACACAGACACAGATGCAACAGAACATAACAATGTTATTGGAAAATGGAGAGAATATATTGAAAATCATGTCCATAATGAAAATGTTTCAGAAAGGATTAAAGATCATTTATTAAGAAAACCAGTTTTCTTACCAAGGTAAATTCTTTAAGATATAAAATATAAACTTGTTAATGTTAATTTGAAATAATAATAATAATAACAAAGAAAATAATTATAATCAAGAAGAATTTTGATTTGAAATTATTTAGAAATGTAGTGAAACTTTGCATCGTAATGTATTAATTCAAAAACTACTGTTTTCAGGTTACCAAAAATAAGCTTAACAATATTTTCAGCCTAATCAAACATATAAATATAGAATGATCACTTAAAACTCCTATGGATGTGTCAAATAAATGATTCCATGCTTTATTCTAGAAATATAGAAAAAATTCAAAAATGCCTCAGTAGTTTAGAGATAAATGAAGATCAGCTGTTTAGCTCAAGTAGTAAGGCATTTTTGAATTTTTCTCTATTCTAGAGAAAGCAATGTGGATTCACTTGTTTGACAGAGTAAAATATTTTGATTTGTAACAAACACACAACAATAAACACAATACACAACACATTTAAACTTATTTTTAAATGAAATGAACAACAATCAAATTTAAAATTACACAATTTCAAAAATACAAAAATAGGATTATTATTTTTTATCTTACAATTTGTGAATAAATTAATCATATAATTTAAAAATTGACATGAATGATTTATACTCATTAACAACAAAATGAGAAAATTGACTGAATTTAGTCACACATGATCAAAAGTTTCCTGCGCATTGATGACTGAATGTATTTTTCTTCTGTAAGATATGTATGTGTATGTATGTATATAAAATTCAAAGAGAGTAAGGAGTGCAAAATAGTTCAAATAAACATTGAGAACAAATTTCTGGCAAAAATGAATAAGCAGACTGAAAAACACGCCAACATAACATTGTTTCCGGCAAATTTTACCATTTCACGAATCATTCAGAAGTTGAGAATTGTTGAACATATTTACTAGCAAAAAATTTTGCCACTTATCACAGTGCATTTGTTGTTGGATGTTTCTAGCAGTTTTTAAGATTGTTACAAAATCATCACACAACAGAGTACACATTAAAAGTGTGAATTACAAGAGATCATTCTAATTTTGAACATTTTTCTCATCCAACATTGTTTTATTTTTAACATATCTTTCAATTTTTGTAATAGATATGCTAGCAATGATTAAAAACAGATTGTCAGAAGTGTTTTGTTTTTACCAATGATGTTTCTCTGTAGTTTATAAATGATTGGATGCTCAAAATTTGCAATTGCTTTTTGCAGTCCAGATCAGTTTCACATTTGTTTTTTGCTTTTGCTATTCACTCAGTGTGAACTAAGCTACTCCAGCTTCGAATTTTCAAACTTTAGTAATTTTCAAAATAAGATATTCCAGTTTCGAATTATCTAAAAATTTGAATTAACCAAGTTTGACTGTGTGTATATATGTATTATATAATTAATCTAGAAATCTGAATGGAATGTTAAATTTAATTTCCATGATCAATTTGGGTTTGTGCAACAACAATTCCATACAGCTGTATAATTCCCATTGAGCCAGATATGTGAAGTTCAATTATTTATTCAGCTTAATTAATGAAATCCCTTATATAATAAAGTCCTTATCTTGTGTCAATAATTTTATAGCACATACCTAACTTTGTCTTTCTCTGATATGTTATTTTTGTCTGTTTTGAAGACAGAAAAATATTAGTTGATAATTCCATTATCAATTTTAACAGTCATACTTGGTAAGTTACTAAATAACTACTTAATTTTTCATGAAATATGTTCAAAACAAACTTGATTCAAAATTTCAAAATGATAAAAATCTGAACATCAATGTCCTAATATGAAATCTTGTATAGATAATAAATATCCTATCATGAAAATATCTCCAAAAATATAAAATTATAATTTCATCATTTTTGAAAGATAAATTTTGACTAGAAAAATCTAATCAAAAAGGATTAGATTTTTATCATATTATTGAAATAACTAATCATATTATTATACTAACAAATCATATTATTATATAACTAGATGAGCCTGGCATTGCTTGGACAAAAAGTAATGATAGCAAAAATTATTAGATTATAGCTGATCTTACCTGTTTTCACCAAGTGCAAGAATTAGATCTCCCTCTTCTGAGACTAATAGAAAATTTTTAGATATCTGCTTACCACGCTGGGATAACGATAATTAAGATTCACAGTATCCACTAACCAGTGCATAGTACCACTAAGTGATGAATAACAAATGTTTTCATAACCCCTTCTGGGTTTTTCTTCAGGTTTACTAAATTTGAAAAATAAGCTGGATCTTCCTGAATCATTCATAAATATAAATTTGAACATAAAGTGAACTTATGCGCATGCGCTCCCCGTGTCAACTTTATATTTGATGAAACACTAAATATCATTGAGAATTTTTAGAAGGGTCTAAAAACTAAAAATATGTTCAATTTTCCACATAAATACAAAAAAGACATTTAAAATAATACAGTAGAAGCTGAGTTCTTTGGAGTAATCCTCAACACTCTCTCTCTCCCTCACGGTGGGAATTTCGAAAAATCTCTTCTTAATGTGCATTCTCATGGCATACCTTATTAAAACACAATCAAAAACACAAAAAAAAAACACACATCTAAAATAGTATAATAGAAGCCAAGTTCTTCATGCGATATTAATCGAAAAATCCCTTCTTACTGTACGTTCTCATGATGTACACTAACTGTGTACCAAATTTCAACTTTCAACTCCCAACCATTTGGGCTCTGCACTTATTATTATCATTATCAACCCATCTTGATCATATTATAAGAATGATATCATTTTCATTTCAATTCAAAATAACATTAATTCAAAATAAAAGATATTCTATAAGAATATATTCTATTTTTCTGTTTCAATATCTTTATTTTAATTATAATAAATAATGTTATTGTCAAGAATAATTTTCTTTGTTGTACAAATAACATAAAATACAAGAAAGCTGTTTAGTAAAGGAAGTATGTAAGTAAATGTAATGTTTGTTTATATTCATATTGTTATATAGCATTTCATGTTCAGATAGTTATGAATAATCTTTTTTTTCCTAAAATTTTAAATTTTTATTTATTTAGAAACATCCAGTGTTGGAAAAGGGAAGCAAAGCATCATGTGGAAAGAGGAACAAAAGATGGTCAGCCTGAAGTGAGTACAGACAATAAAGGAGAAAGTAGAAGTGAAGCTGCAGAGAGGCTTTCTTCAATGGAATTAGGCCAAACAAATGTTCCATCTGAAACAAATACAGATGTCAAACGTTGTAAATTTATTGTTAACTCATGTAAAATGATATTTGTAATTGATAGCAACAGTTACCTACTTTACAAGTACTTATCTATGAAGAATGCTCAACAAGTAAGTATTCAAAATTCAGTTTGTTAATTTATTTTGTATAATGAAGTTTTGAGTTATTTCAAATACTAACTATTAGTTTTTTAAATACTTGATTAATCTTTTGCATAAAACTGACAGCGATTGACTTAGTGTAGGTTATTTATTCATAAAAATAACCTAGTAGTAGTTTTCACAATTCACAAATCACAATTACAAATTCATCCAATAGCTTTTTCATTGTCTAAACTTATCAAAGAGGGTCTTTAAAAAATGAAAAAATTCTTTACTTGCTGTAGGCATTAATCTCGGATCATAAAACTACTAAAGAGACACATACACATATACATCATCTTTAGTTCTCTCCCATTTTCTATAATTCAATTTGCTTTTTAATTGATGTTACTTATTAGTACACTAAATTATACCTGCTATTAACACTACTACTTAAGTTTTTATTTTAAAAGCTAATAAATTTCATGTAATTTCTTCTCTCTATATAATGACTCTCAGGCTTGTGACCCAATCCTAAAATATACTTGTATATTTAAGGATTAACATGTCTAGATTATAGTAATAAGTATTAAAACTTTATCACAAAAAAGAATATTTTAAAAAATTACTTCAGAGAGCTATTTAGAAGTTGACTGAATTTTAGCATATATACAGTAGTAAGTAAAAGCTAAGTGATCAACTCTTGAATCCACCTTATTGGATATTGTAGAATCTGTGTACAGCTTTCTTAGTAAAGACAATAAACAGTAAATAAAGTAACTTGTTTATTTGCTTTATATCTGTTAAGGCATCATTCCTACCAAAAGTGATAGTGACATGTTGCTGTGCTAGATTCATCTCAACTTTAGATAATCTTCAAATGTAAACAGTGGTGTACAGTATATTACATGTTTTCATTTTCATTCTAGTAATTTACTACAGGAAATATACACCACGATGTAGAAAATTAAGATAAAAGACAGATTAGGATTTTTTTTAATGGATGGAAAGATTTTAAAATAAAATTCAAGTTCAAAATTATGATGCATCTTAGAATTGAAAAAGTACAGAAGTTAAAGGAGTCTTAAAATATTTAATGAATTCTTGTACTTATCATCAAGTTATGCAAGATCAAGGAATAGTACATTTGAAGATTATGTGGACAAGTATTATCTCTCTAAAGCAGGAATGTCCAACCTTTCCATTTCTCTGGACCACATTGGAAGAAGTCATGGAGTTTTGGGCCACAAGTATTTTATATATACTTGTGGCCCAATCCTTAAATATACAAGTATATTTAAGGATTAACATGTCTAGATTATAGTAATAAGTATTAAAACTTTATCACAAAAAAGGATATTTTAAAAAATTACTTCTACAGACATTTTCAATTTTTACTTAAAAATAGATAAATTCATTTATTATAAAGGAAATGAACAAAAATTTATTTGAAAAACACAAATATTTATTTTATTTGGGTCTCTAATTAATAAAAAATGACAAAACACCATTTTAAAGTGCATTTTTATTCATTTAATATATTTATAACTAATATGTAGCCCAAAACATAGCCAATGTGCCAAATGATAGTTTTTATAACAAACTAAAAAAAGGTAGCCAAATCTTGCAATGCTGGAAGGAATACTAAATAAAGCAGGAGCTGGGACTCAAAGGACTATAGACCTAAATGCAGGGAAAGGAGAGAAAGGACAAAAGATAAAGAAGTGAGGAATGTTGGAAAATTAAGGGTCAATATTTGCATAAGAGAAAGTCTATTTAACTTTCTTGCTACTTTTGATCTTTTGGCCTTTCTCTTCTTTCCTTGAATTTGGGTCTATAGTCTTGAGTCACAACTCCAGCTTTATTTAGTATTCCTTCCTCATTCACATATTTCCAAGTACAGTAGAACCTCGATTATCCGGACTAATTGGGGATGAAGGTAGTCCAGATAAGGAAAAATCCGGATAATCGAAACAAATACTTTAATTTGTCTTTTAATGATAATACAATACGTTTTCTTTTCGATGACATATCGGTAATATTAAAAATAAATACTGTATTTAAATCGTGATCAAATTTTCAAGAAATAAACGTTCGTATTGCATTTAGACTACTACTGACCAATGCTAACAGACTACCTATTGTTTAAAAGGCCCTCTGGTGGCGCAAGAAGACGGATTTTATAAAATAAAAAGCAGTTGAAACTGCATTTTTATGAATAAAAATTTGACAAACTATTTATCGTTTTACGACGAGTAAAATTTTTTCGTCGCATTAACGGCTTTTAAGTAATGCATAAACCTTCCAGGCGCGAGGCCCTTTGGACCGTGAGGCATAGACGATGGCCCACGTCGTCCATGCCTTTCGCCTCCCTTGGTCATAGAAATGATGTAATTTGAATATAAATTATTTATAAATACGTATGTCAAGTTATATTTTTATTACTACGTAAAATATATTTAAGAGTTTACGACCAATTGTGCTGGGTGAGACGTTGTTGAAACAAAAAAAGTTATGCATTCCATCACGTACATAAACAGTGTCGTAATTCGCCAAGTGCAAATCAGCAAATTCGTAAAATTTTTGTTTATTTTGAACAATCCGGATAATGGAGGTCCCGATAATGGAGGTTCTACTGTATGTTGTAAATATTGGTAAAATACATTTGAATGTAAATATGTAAAGACGTACCAGGTACGAGTTATAAGTTACGAATTACGAGCTACGAGTTATTTCCAACTTAGAAAAAGAAAATGTTTTGGAACAACGTATTGTGAAAATGTTTTGGAACAACGTATTGTAGCATCGTTAATTACTTTATGTCAGAAAGGAGAGCAAGATGCATTAATGAAACGCGATTCTTCGAAAACAAATTCCTTCGAAGAGCTTTAAAACTATTTTGTTTTAATTTATATTGTATTTAATGTGTAATGTAATGTATTTTTAATTTTATGTAATTGT